CAACTAAACGACGATATTGTTCCAGTTGAGCGAACGGCTCACCGGAAGCATGTGCAAGACGATGATTCTGCTCCATCGGAGTGTCAATGGGTTTACAACCCAACATTCCTGCCTCAGTCAAAATGTCAAGGGAATACTTTCGCTGAGAAAGAAAGATGCCCTCAGGACTCCGAGCGACCTCAATGCCTAAGAAATACTTAAGCAAACCCAAATCCTTCATATAGAAGCATTTGCACAAATAAGCTTTAAACCAAACAATCGCATCATGAGAGGAGCCTGCAATAATCAAATCATCGACATAAACCAGCACATGCAAAGAAACATCGCCTTGTACATAGCTAAACAGAGAGTAATCAGCATATGAATTTTTAAAACCAAAACCTCGCAGAGCACTAGACAACTTCGAAAACCACTGTCTCGGGACCTGTTTCAAGCCATACAAAGACTTCCGTAACCGGCAAACTTTGCCCGGTTTTGGAGTACCGTACCCTTGAGGAAACTGCATATACACTTCTTCATCCAAATCACCATGAAGAAAAGCATTATGAACATCCATCTGATGTAACTCCCAATTCAAAGATACAACAACAGCTAACAAAATACGTACCGTACCCATCTTTGCAACAGGAGCAAACGTCTCATTATAATCAACACCTTCAACCTGTCGATTGCCATGAACAACCAACCAAGCCTTGAGACGTTCCGCCTTCGATTTGTCGGTGTACTTGATTTTGTACACCCAACCACTACCAATAGCCTTCTTGCCGAGAGGAAGATCCTCAACGGTCCATGTGCCATTACGATCTAAAGCGTCAATCTCATCTTGCATCGCCTTACGCCATCCGATGTCTTTAACCGCCTCTTTGAATGAAGACGATTCCTTTCCCTTAGTGATCGTCGCCAAAAAACACCCATGTCTCATAGAAAAACGATTATATTCAACATGACAAGCTATAGGGAAAGGTTTACCTGAGGAATGTGATTGAGGAGGGACGACAATTGATGTAGATGGGTCTATATTTTCAGTAATGATAGTATGAGTAACATAATTCCGATGCCACGAAGGAGGACGTTTTTCACAATGACCACGACCCAAATTATACGATGAACTCCCCCTTAAGTATTCCGTATTTATAAAAATATTTTCACCATTTAATTCTCGCTCAACAACAGTCGAAGAGCGCACATTACCATTACCGGAACGAGAAGTATCGCAAGCAACATCACCGGAATTATCACCGGAGCTCGAACCACCGCCGGCGGGCTCACCGGAGCCCACCGGGACCACCACCGCCTGGGCATCACCTTTCTGCTGCGTACAGGGCTGCTCCGTGGCCAATGGTGCACTGCTGCCAGCAGCAGCCTGTACACGCTGCTGGACAAGGCCTTCCGCGGCCTGCCTGTGGCCTGGCAGCTGCTGCCGCGGGTGGGCTGCGGTCTGCTCTGTCTCGCAAACTGGCAGCAGCACCACATGCTGGTCCACAGCCTGCCTGCGACCTGACAGCTGCTGTCGCGGGTGGGCTGTGACCTCATCGGTTTCGGGGGGTGTTTGCGAGTCTTGAACAGCTTATGACCCCCCCGGAACACCATCATCTTCGTCCCACATGGGTGGGTTGGAAAAATATTTTTCCCATTGCATTCTTCGGTCATCCGGAAGTGATGCAAGATAAGGAAATTGATCTTCAAAAAATTGCACATCCCGACATACAAAAAATTCATTTGTCTCCAAATCATAAAGACGCCAACCCTTCTTTCCGTGAGGATAACCAACAAAAATACACCTCCGACTCCGAGAATCAAACTTATCCTTAACTCGAGGACGATTCGCAACATAAGCAAGACAACCAAATACTCGAATGCTATCATAAGACGACACTTGACCAAACAAACACTCATGAGGGGTTTTCCCACGAAGAACCGGAGTCGGAGTCTTGTTAATCAGATGAACATCAATCATAACATACTCACCCCAAAAATATTTAGGCAACTTTGCCTGAAATCGAAGAGCACGAGCCACATTGAGAATGTGACGATGTTTACGTTCAACTCTACCATTTTGCTGAGTCGTGTCAACACACGACGTTTGATGCAAGATGCCCTTCTTTGCAAAGAAGAAACCTAAACTGAGAAACTCTTGACCATTATCACTACGAACAACTTTCACCTTACGACCAAATTGAGTTTTAGCCAAGGCACAAAACTCACGAATCAACTGTGAAGCTTAATATTTTCCAACCATCAAAAATACCCAAGTAGCACGAGAAAAATCATCAACAATGGTCAAGAAATACCGAGCACCACTACTAGACAAGATCTTATTCAGACCCCAAATATCACAATGAATCAAATCAAATATACCAGATGCTCTATTCGTACTCAATGGAAAAGAGTTGCGGGGTTGCTTCCCCATAAAACAAATATCACAATTAAACATACAATCAGAAGAACTACTATGATCATGAGTACTACGAGAAACTCTTGGAAGAGAACTAACCACTTGCATAGATGGATGACCAAGACGTTTGTGCCATAACAAACTTGCATTTGAAATTACCACTTTGTTTGCCTGAGGATTCCGAGCACGAACCGGACGAAAAATATAGACCCCATCACACTGCTCCCCCGCTCCAATCAGGTTCCTCAAATTGCGGTCCTGAATAATGCATAACTTGTCAGTGAACATAATAGAATAGGATTGTTTTTCTAACAACTGAGACACAGACAATAAATTGCATTTAAGAGCAGGAACATAAAGAACATTATCAAGAGTTAAATTATCAGATAGAATAACTCTCCCTTCTTTTGTAGCAGTAGTACTCTTCCCATTAGGCAAACCAACAGGCGACGAAATATCAAATAAATGAGTAAATAAATCAATATTACCAGACATATGATTTGAAGCTCCAGTGTCAATTAGCCAATCGATTGAATTATAGGTGCGAATAGACGAAGAACTCGAGCACTGAACAACAAATAGAAATTCTGTCCATTGTGCATCAATGATAGTAGGAACACTCCTACGATCTGCATCGGTAATACGCTCAAATGTACGGTTAGATTGAGCCCCCATTGAAATAGAACACCAATCTAGCTCAATCAACAAACTAACTCAAACGATGAGAAACGGAGATATGAGCTATGAAACCACGATGAAAACGCAACCACACGCACCAAAACCAAACAAATCACCAAACTAAGGCAATATATACACCAAACTAGTGTAATCAACAAACTCGAACACGATCTATAAAACCACCAAACAATAGTACTCAGTAAGGCATAAATAAACCAAATTGCCCAAATACCACCACAATTGCAAAATCCAATGCAAGAAACGAAGGATAACCCAACTTGCTCCCACAAAAGAAATAGCAGCAAGTATGAACAAAAATAAGAGGCACCAAACAGAGCCACTAACTGTAATATCCTCTAATGGAAGGACACTACTATAAAGCACTAACTATTTCTTTCTTTGATAAAAAAAATAGCAAATATCAACCTTAATAACTCAAAGATTAATATTACCAAATTGAAGGACAAACCAAGAGGGTGCAGAACACACGAAACCAAGCAACACACTACGTAGCAGGACACTCCCACACCACGCAGCACCAGACGCACAACGCACACACAACAATAAACTGAGCAGCAGCACCACACGAAACACAGGCACCACTCTCGCAGAAACTGCACACACAATGCACAGATCACACACTACACCTCGCAGCACCACTCACGCAGCACCACAACACAACAACACCACGCAAGCCAACACCACGCAGCACTAACCCACGCAACCACAGACAACGAGCACTCTACACAGAGCACCCAAAACACAGCACACCACACTCGTAGCACACCCAACCAATCCCACGAAATTAGGGTTTTTGCACCCGTAAAACAGAAATTCGTTTGATTAAAAACAACAAAAAAAATTAAAACAATGAAGCCTTAATCTCACTCTGAATTTGCAGAAATAAAATTAAATTGTGATGAACGAACCAAGATCGTAAAAAATTCTCTAGAAATTAGAGAGGCCTGATACCATGTTAAACTCAAGAACAATTGGAGAAAACGGCTTGACCTTTGTATTGATAATGAACTCATATATATACACAATACATTAAGAAATCTAATAAGCCTAAAACTCCTAATAAGATAAATTTAACATAAATACAATATTAACATAAATAAACCAAACCGGCTCTAATAAAAACATTATCATGGGATTTTTGCAATCAAGTATAGAAGGGTAGTTCTTCGCAAAGTCTATTTATTAATGGATGATGTTTTAAAAAAAACTTCGTAGTTAAATGACCAATTCAACCAAAAGTTTAACCTAATGGTTGAAGCCTAGGATTGATTTACATACTCTGTATATAATTTACTCCTTATGATACAATGCATCATATCCTCAATCAACTAGCATTATGTGTTAATTTTGATCAATACCTAAATAAATGTATACGAATCTTGTATACTAATTAAAGAATATTTCGTAATTTTTCTTTATTTCTACAGATGATTTTTTTGTAGAGAAAGCTATTTTAGTTGTTAATCATTTAGCTGATTTAATGTTTCATAATAGTACTATAGATTGTATTATTGAATTTGCTAAACAATTTATGTGCTAAGCTATTCTGATTAATTAATCCGTAATATCTAAAAGTTTTCGGCCTGTCAAGTGTAAACTGCAAGCCCAATAAGTCCAGATAAAAGGCCCAATATTCTAAATCAAGTTGTGGGCCTGTGGCCCAATGGAGCTCCTTTCGCCAAAAGCCCAAAAAACTCAATAATAAAGCCCATTAGGCGCACAATGGTTAAAGTCTATTCCTTGGGCACCAGACCACTAGAGCTATACCATTTATTCAGAAAAATAATTTAAGTTCATATAAATAGATTTTGTGTACAAAACACGGCGACGTTGTATGTAAAAATAATGACAGTGGAGATAAATCACAAATGCACGTATTTTTGTTGGTCGATTAACCAAACTGGTATATAAAAATAACAAGTTTTGTAACATGATTCGTGTTACAAAAAAGAATTCGATGATATCTTGGTATACAAATTATAGATGATACAACAACAAATTACACCTAAATGTTGAGTTGAATTAGAAATCTTCTGAACCGTATGTACCGAGCTTCCCTTTGAACTGTTTTCGATACAGTCGTCTACAAATACATCATGGTACTCAAAAGAGCTTGAGGTCAGTGTTGACTTGAACTTTGCACAAAACACAACTTCTAAGATATCAGTTACTTTACAAGAGATCAATAGTCTTTAGATCTTGACCTCCATCACCTTGAACACATACCCTTTCTATTCTCTCCCTTACTTCAGTCAAATTTAACCTTTTATCGCGATTAGGTTCAGTGCAAGCAACCCCTACGTGAAGCATCTTCACCATGCTCTCTTTACAACTCGTCGAATGTGACACAATATCAGGATCAAGCAGTTCAACTTCTCTACCTTCTTCTATAGCCGAGGTCACCCATTGCACAACATCTGTGCCACCCTTGGTTGTGCTAAGGTATTGGGAAGGGAATTTGCGCGTGAGGATCTCGAGGATGACTACTCCTAGGCAATAAATATCACACGTAGGAGATATTGTTTGGTGTTGTATGGCTTCTGGGGCTCGATAGCCAAATAAGGCTTGTGCCGCGACACTAGGATTAGTCATTGGACTAAAGCCATAATCTGAGAGCAATGGCTCGTTTTGTGTGTCAATCAAAATATTGCTCGATTTAAGGTTGCCATGAGGCAAGTCATAGGATTGTAGTTGAGAGTGTAGGTAATATAGGCCTTCTGTTGTTCCTCTTATGATCTTTAGACGTGTTGGCCAATTTAGTTCCTCGTGAGATATTCCTCGATCACCTATAGAAGCTCAAAAAAACCAAATAATGCTCATATTTTAGAAGAAATTATGTGCTAAAAATTAATCCCAACTAAAATATTATGCACCTAATTATATAAACTTTTGTTTTTTAAAAGAACACAATCTAATACTTCGTATAATTTTTAGAAATCGTTTTTTCGTACTTTTTAACTCCCTTTTAAAAATGGACAACCAAACTATTTTATTCAACAATTTACACATGTATTCATCGAAATGTTATAAGAGGAACAATTATGATTATATATGATAATTCAATTCGTGAAATGCCTAACAAAAATTATTGGATAGTCTACATTATAAAGCAAATAATTGTTGGTTTGTAATATTTTCTTCATACCATTTACACCAACGATGAAGCCCCGATTTATCTTTGTGATAAACAAAAAACGTGTATCTAGTCCTACTTAGCATGACATTTCCTAAATCCTCAGCCGATACTTTCATCAAATCCTACTTAGTGTGACATTTTGGTAATTAAATCAACATTAATAGGCCCACATTTAATAAGAAATTGTTGATTTATTTACGAAAATACCACTAGATAAACATTTTTTTATATATATCACGAAGATAAACTTGTATTTCTGTCATTTACACATTTGATTTATTAAGGGTGATATTCGTAATAAAAGCGAAAATTTTGATCAAATTACCTAAGTTGGTTAAAAGAACCTTACCATGTAGAAGATAATGCAAGCTGCCTTTGGCAACATACTCATAAACAACTAGCTTCTCATCTTTCCTATAATGATAAGCTAAAGGAGGCAAAATATTCCTATGTCTCAAACTAGCCAACTTCCTAATCTCCACATCAAATGCATCACTCTCCAATCTATTTAGCTCGCGCATCCTCTTAACTACTACCCCTAATCCATTACCCATGATCGCTTTATAGGCCGAACCTATACCGCCATTTCCTAACACCTCAGCCGATGCTTTCATCAAATCCGCCAACACAATCACACCCTTTTCATCATTCACCATTGTAAGATCTCCTTGCCCTAATCCACCTACACTACTAGACACACCGCGATTGCTACTTCCTTTTACCGAGCTTTTTCTTGATGATTTTTCCGAGTTGTTACTCCTCCTACTAGACGTAGAAGAATGGCTTGAATTCTTTTGCAAAATGGGTTCCACACCTACCTCTATCGCCCTCTCATTGACATGTACACCGTCTTTGCTTCTCGTGTTAGAAGCGGTAGTGGTTGAGGTTGTGGCAATGGAATTAGTGTCATCATTATTTTGGGTTGTAGTAGGGATATCATCTTTATACACCCTTCTCTTCTTCATAACAAAAATCGCGATAATCACCAAGGACAAAAGCACCAAAATAATACTCATAACCAAGGCAATCACCCCAACAAAGTGATTATTATTGTGAGATTGTTTAAGATTACTCAACTCTCCTTGAGGTGACGTCGAGTTTTGGGATGTTGACTGATTATTGTTACTAATTATAGTAATGCAATCTACCCCAATAACCTCACCACAAAGCTTGGGATTTCCTTCAAAAGAAGAGGCCTTAAAATGCAAAAGACTCATAGGAATTTCGCCTCGTAGTTGGTTGTTAGACAAGTTTAAAGACACCAAAGGCGGTTGCTTAAGAGGGGGAACCTCACCCAAAAACTGATTGTTTTCGAGGTGTAACTCTAGGAGGTTACGAAGTTGTGTCAACGACGATGGAATATCACCGGAGAAGGCATTATTAGCTAGCCAAAGTTTCTTTAATGACTCCATCTTTAAGAAAAAATCCGGAGATATTTGTCCGGTAAAATTGTTGTTGTTTAAGTACACCGCCTTTAAGTATCCTAATCGATTAATCTCCGGAATAGGGCCAGAAAACTCGTTGTCCTCAAGGCTAATGGTGCGTAAGCCTTGTAGACTAGCCAAGGCATCGACGTCGATGTTGCCGGATAATCCCTTGGATTTTAAGTGTAGGCCAATGACATTGCCATCTAAACAAAGAATGCCGTTCCAACGTGCATTTTTGTCTAGGCAAGGGCCGGTGTTTGGATCCCATGAGTTGAGAGCTTCGGGTGTCGAAAGCGAGTTTTTAAACTTTAACAAGGCTTCTACATCGGATATGGATTGTGTTGGTGAAGAAAATAATAAGGTGAGCATGAAAAGGAAATATGGTTGTAAAAAAAGTGGGTTCAAAATTTGGTATGATGTAATGGCCATTTAACCTTTTAGCCAAAAATGTTATGTACAATGTTGTAGGAGGAAGAAGATGGTAATAATAATCTTGGAACTTCAACAATTTTTAGTTTTTGCTCTAATTTGTGAATGTTTTTTGCTGTTTTTTTTATTCATCCAATGCATTGATTTGATCATGATGGTGTTTGAACCTTTTTTTTTTTTTTTTTTTTTAGATATGCCTTGTTTTTTCCCTCAATTTTTGTTTGATTTTGTGTGTGTGTGTTATTTTTTTTTTTTTTTTTTTTGGTGGGAAAATAGAAGGTGAAGGCAGGAGAGCCTCAAATTGAAAGAGGCCTCAAAATAATAAAAATGTTTTGGAGAAAGAAAAAAACTAGAATTGAAAGGAAAGAGTTTTTTTATTTTGACAAAGTCCATTGGTTGACGAATTTACAGGAATTGTGGGAAATTTGCTCCATCCAATTCTAGCCCCTATTTGGCTATATGTTGTTTTTTTGGTAACCTTGGTTGTGTTATTTTTAAATGCTCTGTTTTCCCATACACTTGTGGTTGTTTGAAACTAATACATACTTCTCCGGTTTTTTTTTTTTTTTTTTTTTTTAAGTTGCAAAGGTTTAACTTTTACACTATTTATATATTGATTAGTTTTAACGATTTATATTGAAGTAAAAATATAATCATGTGGGATTTTGTTAGATTCTTATCGATTTATATGATTTCAATATCAATTATTTATAATTTTTACATGTTGGTAATTAAAGTTATAAACGATTGAATACATGCATTGGCAACTCAACAAGCATGAAAAGAGAAGTGTTCGTTGCAACTATAAAAAAAAAATTACAGAGGAAGTATGTACTACGTATGGTTTTTTTTCCCCACAAAGCTTTGGTGAAACTCATTTTCAAAAAAAAAAAAAAAAAATGCCTACTGACTTATCTGTCAAAATAAATTCTATGTATTACTTGCAACACTTCTCTTTTTTCACATTCGCATATAAATATATTATTTTAATATTTAATATCTTTGATTACCAATATGTAAAACATTGTAAATATTTTATATTAATATAGTATAAATCAAGACGAATATAATAAGATCACACATGACTATACTTTTATTTTGTTATAAATTGTCAAGTTAGTTAAAGTGAAGCATATAAATACTGTATAAGGCAAATTATTGCCAAAAAAAATACAGAAAAAGTATTTATTTTCTTGGTTTATTTTTACTACCTATATAATCAAATACAAGCAAGTATTCAATATTGTTCAATATGCGCTTTACTTGATCCAATATTTGGGTCTAGACATGTAAATTTAACATTTTCATTTAGATCAAATAGCCCAAGTTACTTCACACACGAGACGAGCATAATAACAATTAAAAGAACAATAAAATAACTTTACATAGGGTTCATAAAATCAAAATTGCAGCTAAAAAACAACACATGTACTGTTGAGCCCATGAACAACCCACATGTGAGCATTCTCTTGTCCCACACTAAAACTCTAAACACTAAAGGGGGAATGTAGTGGTAATGAAATTCCACATTGAAAGAATTCAAGAGTTACCACCACTATATAAGGCTAAGGGGCTACTCCCCTCATTGCCATATGGTTTTGAGGTGGAACCTCCTTGGTCTTGTAAAGTGGTGGACTTACACTCTTCCATGACGGGTGCGGCCCATACCCGTATTTAACATGGTATCAGAGCCATGCTCACGATTGGGGCCTTAATGGCTAAGGTATACTGGGCCAAACACTATGGACAACTCACATGTGAGGGGGAGTATTGAGTCCATGAACAACACATATGTGAGCATTCTCTTGTCCCACACTAAAACACTAAACACTAAAGGGGGAGTGTAGTGGTAATGAAATCACACATTGAAAGAATTCAAGAGTTACCACCACTATATAAGGCTAAGGGGCTACTCCCCTCATTGTCATATGATTTTAAGGTGGAACCTCCTTAATCTTGTAAAAGTGGTGGACTTGCACTTTCCCGTGACGGGTGCGACCCAGACCGTATTTAACATGTACACGAGTAACACGAGTGTGTTGCTACTCTTATTTGGCACGTAGTATTTTCCAAGCTATAAAAATAATATATTACGAAATATGTGTTGGTAAAAAAAAAGGAAAAAAAAAACAGTTGTGTTGAAACAACATTCGAGTTGCAATAATCAAAATGTACAACGTTGCTATCTTCAATTCTTTATTGTACAATATTAAATAACTATGTATATTTGAAAACTATTTACTCTGTATGTTATTGTTTAATACTTCCTCCGTTTTTTTTATACTTGACCCGTTTTTACTTTTAACCGTGTTATTAAAAGTTGTTACTATCATAATATAACTTTTACCCTCCGTTCTTTTACCTGTGTGACTTTTACACTACTCAATTGCTAAACATCGCCCGCGAATCTCCACATAAAGCCCACAAAATTAGAGTGAATTGTCACTTTTGCCCTCAAAGTAAAAAACACAATTTCTTCTCTCAATTCTCTACTTCCACTTTCTCTCTCTAAAAAACTTTCCGAGCGATGTCGAGGCGGCCCGGCAAGGAAGTGGCGGCACAGGCGGCGGGTGGACAGCGGTTTTCCGGCGAGAAGGTATTTTTTATTAATTTTGTGTTTAAAAATTAAAAAAAAAGGTCGGAGGCGGTGGCGGCGCCTAGGCCAGACGCCACCACCACGGCGGCGGCGTCTAGCCCAGACGCCACTACCACGGCGGCGGCGCCTAGGCCAGACGCCGTGACGGTGGCGGTGGCGTCTGGCCCAGGCGCCAGAACCACGGCACCGGCGTCTGGCCTAGGCGCCGCCGCCGTGGTAGTGGCGTCTGGGCTAGACGCCGCCGCCACCGTCACGGCGTCTGGCCTAGGCGCCGCCGCCTTTTTATTTTTTTTTTTTAATTTTTTTTTGGTTTTAAATTTGAAATTTAATTTTCGAAAATAATTATTTTTTTTTTGATTTTTTTTTAAATTTGTTTTTCTTTTTTTTAATTTTAAATTTTATGTTTCTGATTTTTTTTTTATTTTGTTTTAAATTTTGTTGGTTTTTTTAAAAAAAATTTTATGTTCCTCTTTTTTTTTTTTTTAATTTTTAATTTTATGTTCTTGTTTATTGTTCTTGTTTTTTTTTTTTTTGAATTAGTTTTTTTACTTAAAAAAAATTTTATGTTCCCTTTTTTTTGTTATAAATTTTTTTTAAAATTTTGATGTTCTTCTTTTTTTAAGTTTTTATAATTTTATATTTTTCACTTTGTTTTTTCCAATTTGTTTTTTTTGGGTAATTTTTTTTTTTGCTTTGTTTTTTCCAATTTTTTATTTATTTATTTATTAGGTTATTAATTTTTTTATTTTTAGGTTGTTAATATTTTGTAATGTTTTTAATTTATTTTCCATCATATGTATATTGTTTTATTTATTTATTTTAATTACTTTTTTTATGTTTATATTACATGTTTATATTGCATATTACATGTTTTGTTATTTTGTGTTAGGCATCGTATTTTCGTTCTGGGGCTGGGAAGAGTATGGACATTATGAGAAGTACGATGAACTCAATGGAGAGCTCGGGGCCCAGACACGTTAGATCCCGTGGTATTTCGGCCTCGGCTCGTAGAGAACGGGTGCACTATTCTGAGGATGATGAAGATGATGATGGTGATGAGGAGGAGGAGGAGGAGGATGCAGATGAGGATGTGGACGATCAGAGTGGACCATATGATGATTACGGTCCATTCAGTCAGAGGCTTGATGATGTGTATGAGACGCGTAGGGTAGACGTGCGTAAGGGTAGAGATGGTAGATCCAAGGCTCGGTCGTACTCTGCCTCCGTGGTAGCTTGCAGGATCTTCCGCCACTTACCATTTACCAATCTCTCTGCTGAATCTAAGTTCTTGTTGAAAAGGTTGTAGGCTTTGACTTTCACGCATTTGTTGATGTGCCATGTGCACAGTAAATGGCTCGACTCCGGAAACAGCTCCGCTATAGGGGCAAAGAGACCTCCCTCACAATCGCTGACGATGGCCGATGGCTGAACACTTGGGCCGATGTAATTTCTCAACTTCTCCAACACCCAACGGTAACTCGCAACCGTCTCATCCTTCATAACTGCATAACCAATCAAAAAGTTCTGGTTCGTTGGAGTCATCCCAACCATCTCAACCAGTGGAAACTTATACTTGTTTGTCTTGTACGTTGAATCGATCAGAATCACAGATGGCCAAGACGAAATCATATCAGCACAATCAGGATGCACAAGGAACAAATGAGTCACCTCCGATGTGTCTTCATCAGATTCAAACCAGTACAGGTAACCACGTGCTTGTGCCTGGTGTAGAAGCTGCTGTATAGGGTTCCTTCCCTCTGACCGTTCAAACCTCAATTTATGTCTGACGTTGTAGATGTGTCTTCGGTTTGGCTGGTCTTCAGGAAATTTCTCCAACACAGATGCTAATATTTTAGCAGGCTTCACTTGAGCATCACTCATTTCTTTTACAATTAGTTTCGCAGCAGGACTTAGGCCACTTAACTGTCGATGACCCACTTCATATGCGATCATCTCATGGTTGTGATACCCCCATTTACCGTAACTCTTCACTTCCCAACCGTCACCCCTTTGCTGTTGTCGAACCTTTACTCTGAACTGACACCCACAACCTTTCCGCTTTGTATCAAACCGAATCGCTTGACTGAAATCTCGTTCCTCCCTTTTGCGATAACGGTCGCATCTCAAAATGCGATCCATTCTACCATCCCGTTGAGATTTATGAGTTGCTACTACTAAACAAAAACCTGATCTAATTGCAACCTGTTTCGCCCAATCAACCGCTTGTTGAGCATCTTCGAACAGACCATCGTGTACAAAAATCCCACTATAATCATTTCCGTCTCCACCATAATCCTGCAACAATAACATATAAATATAATCACATAAGAGTAGATTAAATTAATACATTTGACACAACATTAGCACAAAAGCAAAAACAATAATAAATTATAAACAACAAACAAAGAAATAAACAAAAAGTATTCAAAAAAAAAAAAAAACAAAACACAAAAATAAAAAACATAAACAAAACTTTAGATTAAATAAATAAAAATAAACCAAAAAAATAAAAACAAAAAAAAAACATAAAACGAAAAAAATTGTAAAAAAAAAAATAAAAAATAAATAAATTAAAAACAAAAACAAATTAAAACAATTAAAAACAAAACAAAAAAAAAACCAAAAAAAAAAGAAAAAAATTGTAACACAAAAAAAAAAAATAAACAAATTTTAAATTAAATTAAAAAAAAAAAAAAAAAAATAGTGGTGGCGCCTAGCCAGGACGCCGCCACCGTGGCGGTGGCGTCTAGCCAGGACGCCGCCACCGTGGCGGTGGCGCCTGGCCAGGACGCCGCCACCGTGGCGGCGGCGTCTTGGCCAGACGCCACGGCCACGGTGGCGGCGTCCTGGCCAGGCGCCAGAGCCACGGTGGCGGCGTCCTGGCTAGGCGCCACCACTACGGTCACGGCGTCCCGGCAGGACGCCAGCCGCCAATTCGTGGTTTTAGATGGCTTCGTACCTCCTTTTCCGGCGTCAACGGCGTCTCTCCGGTGCATCTACCCGACGTTGAGGGCTCTTCGGTTTCACTCGGCGATCCAGTCCTGCTCCACATTTTTTATGAGTGAAAAATTTTATTTTCGGTAAAAATTAAAACAAGGGCAATAATGTCAACATTTTTAAAAAATGTGGGCTTTATGTAGAAAAACGCGGGCGATGTTTAACAAATCCCTTACACTATTCACCCCCTCCTTTGACTGTGTTTTATGAATAATATGTAAGTAAAAATATATTTATATTAGATCATTTTGAATTCGTCTCAATAAGTACTATAATAATATATAACTTTTATATTTTTTAATTATGGAGAATTAAAGTTATTAACCGTTAAAGTTTTGCATTGACAAGCGTGATAAAAGAAACATGTCAAGTAAAAAAGAACAAAGGAAGTAATTGTAAGTTGAATCAAAATGTTTTTTTTTTAATCTTTTGGTGTAAATGAGCAAGAGAAATCTTAATCACTAATCTCATTTATAATTATTTCCAATGTGTAAAAACCGTGTTATTAAAAGTTGTTACTTTGTGACATATACGTAGTATGTCATTTCTTCCTTCCTCCACTCCAAACAAGGGGAGCTTGTTCTCCACACTTTCTTCATACTACGAGATAAGCTAAAATACGGTCCCTAAACTATACCATTAGTTGCACATTTGGTCCCTCATCTTTGAAATGAGGCAAATTAGTCCCTCTGCCACCCTTGGCTCACCAATTCTGGTGGAGGAAAATCCCATACATTCAGCAAAGTTGAAGCATGTTTACTGCCAACTAAGCCAAAGTTTAGGGACTTCTCTCGTTGAGTCAGCATTAATTTAGGGACTGCACTTCTTTTTGCCAAAACATTAAGGAGCTGCCTGCTTACATGAATATTTTCAGTTGAAAAATTTGGTAGTTTGAAGATTAGAGGCTCTTCATTTAATTTTAAGGATTGTAACAGCAAAAAATAACCAAATTCCAAAATAGTTACAAAAAACTAGCCGTTACACATAAAAATGGCTATATATATTGATGTTGGTAGCCATTAAAACCATTAGACTATTGAGCAAAAATTCTTCCAAAAGAAAAAAAAAATTGTTGCAGCCTGCAGTGAAGAAGAAAGCTCCTTCCAAGGTATCTGCTCTACAATAAAATTAGTAATTAAGGTATTTAGGATTTGATCAAAATTAGAAGATTTAAGCAATATATATGTTTATTGATGACAGACAATGTCTAGATGTAGCAATGAATCAAGTAGAAGTGGTCAAATGTGTCATTGTGGCCTAATAGTGTCAAAGATAAGGTCATGGACCAAAGATAACTGAGGAAGAAGGTCACTAAACTTTACCACTTTATTAATTAAATAATGCCAACTCATACCAAGGTCCTTAAACTTTGATTTTTTTTTATTTTTTTTTTTTTGCCACATGGGCACTGTAGTCCCTAAACTATGGTGACTCATCATTTTTTCACCGGAAAAAAAATCATGTAAAGGTGGCAGAGGGACCAATTTACTTCATTAAAAAGATGAGGGACCAAAGGGATCGTATTTATGCTTAACTCATCATTTCTTAGTTTTTTTTTTTTGACAAGAAGAACTAAGAAAACACAAAAACATGCTAAAAGGACCAAAATAAAAACCGACGCTGGCGAGCTTGAGTCGCCAACCAGTGTGCTGGAGCAATCCATTGACGAGGAACCTTTCGAAGTTCACATGAATCAAAATTCTGAATAACAGAACGGATATCCTGAAGCAGCCATAAACTCTGAATATCTCAGTCACCACCGTTCTTCAAGAGGGAAAACAAAGGCATACAATCCGTATAGAGTAACAACGTCCTATACCCTCGACGACTAGCCGCTCGAAGACCCCACAGACATGCCTTCAATTCAGAATGAAGAGGTGAACTTGAAAGAAAAGCTCTCGAACTTCCGCCCAGTATCTGGGGTGAATCTGTATCACGGAAAATCCAACCTGCCCCAGCTGTGCAATCCTGAACCCTACATGCCCCATCAAACACCAGACAAATGTCGAAGGACAATGTGGAAGAGCCAGTGAGACAACAAGAAACAACCTTTCTCCTTGATCTCAATAAACGATTATTAAGCGTTGAATGCATCAAAGATCTAAACTCCTGAGCTGTAAAACTCCTATCAAACCAATCTTGCATAAAAAGCAAAACAAGAGCTGGAGACAAAACAGCCTGACGAAAGATTTTATGATTACGAGCCAACCAGATAGCCCAACAGAAAGTCACCAAATGAACTAGTCCTTCCCAATTCTTTGCACTGTGATAACCCAAAGCTAAATCAACAAACTCCTCAGGGAAAGAAATATCATGTCGACGAGGACAAGAGGAACCAATTGTAGTCGAATTCCAAATAGAACGAACAAAGGAACAGTCTCGAAACAAATGATCCAATGTTTCCGAATCTCTGTAACAGAAAACACATGTCAAATTTATTGGAATTCCTCTGGTCTGAAGAATACTCGAGAGAGGTAAAGCATTATTGAGAAGCTTCCAAGTAAAGCAAAGTAGTTTCGGAAGAATAGGAAGAATCCAAAATAGTTTCCACCAAGTACTGTGACCAAAAGATGAAACACCTGAACCATCTGACTGATTAACCAGCATAGCATAAGCATACTTGGTTGTGAAACTACCATCCCGAGAAAATTTCCAATACACAAAATCATCCATTGGTCTAGAAGGCCGTTCAAGAGCTAGAATGCGAGTAGCAGTAGTAGACGCAAAAAGCCTATGAACATCATTTGAGTCCCATGCGTAGGTACGCGGATTTATAATAGAAGAAACATGAGACGGTACTTCTGTCTCACCTGAGGTACTACGAAAAACCAGAGGTTCACCAGGAAGCCAAGAGTCCTGAAGAATACGCACCTGAGAACCAGAACCAACCTTACAGGATATACCTTTAGCCAACACAAACAAGCCTGAGACTAAACTCCGACATCCCCAAGAGGAACGAGGAATAAATCGAGTATGAAAAAGGTTTAAGGAAGGGTATTTGATTGAAAGCAAACGAGAAACTAAGAGCTGAGGATGATGATAAATACGCCAACATTGACGAGCCAAAAGCACATCATTGAAACAGCTAAGCTTACGAATCCCTAAACCCCCCAAACCCTTAGGTAAATGCAAAAGAGTTTTTGACCGAAAAGCCAAACCTCGAGAATGGGAATTGGATTTCCACCAAAACCGGGCCAGAATATTATCCACCTTGGAACAAATCGAGGAAGGAACTTTAAAAACAGAGAGAATATGATTAAAGGTAGCAATCAGAACTGAATTAATTATTACCAACTTTGCAGCTGAAGAAAGACCTACCGAGTTCAAAGCAGAAAGACGAAGAACTACTTTGTCAATAATAAAACTGAAATCAGAAACCTTACTACGACTAGTCTCAACATGCAAACCCAAATAAGAACCCAAAGAAGATTTACTTTGCAGCCTAAGGCTCTTAGACAGATATTCCTGGTAGTCCTGGGGAGTATTAGGACTAAACTTAACAAAAGACTTCTGCAAATTTATTAACTGACCTGACAAACCACAAAAATCTGATAATAGAG